TCTATGGCCCGTTCGTTAACATTTTGCAAAACATTTTTCGTTTTGTTGATACAAAAATGGTCGAAAATGTGTTTGGCAAAACTGCTTTGTGAAAATAACCTTAGAAAATAAAAAATATTGAAAACAATATTTAACGTAAGTTTTGTAGAATATCAAATTGATGTTTCCTCTATTTTTCAAGAACACTTTTCAAAATAATAGAAATAAAGATACATTATACAACATAGTTAGAGGAGTAAGTTGTAGTAATAGTCTCTCAACTTTAATCAAATTCGAGCAATGATTATTCAACTAAAAATTCATTACCATTGGTCCCTCAACTCATCGAAATGTGTAGCTATGGTACTTTTTGTCAACTTCGTTAGAATTTTGTTAAAACAAGTTATGTTGGAAGGACCATTGCTATAATTGGGATCTCTCAACTCATCAAAATGTATAGATATGGTCCTTTTCGTCAACTTTGTCAAAATTTAGTCAAAATAAGTTATGTTGAAATGATCATTGCTATAACTGGGTTAAAGTTGAGGGACCATTGCTCTAATTGGGTTAAAGTTGATGGACCATTTCTCCAGTTTGATTAAAGTTGAGGGACCAATGGTAATGAATTTTTAGTTGAGGGATCATAGCTGCACGTTTTGATGAGTTGATGGACCCATGGTAATAAATTTTTAGTTCAGGGACCATTGCTGCAATTGAGTTAAAGTTAAGAGACCATTGCTACAATTTACTCTAGTTAGAGTTTTACTTAAAAATAAAATTATGTATGACATCAATACGGTTACCATCGTTGCCACCACCTCCACAACATTCTCCACAGTCTCATCATCATTCATCACCACCACCACCATCATTGACACCAACACCTCCCACCATCATTATCATTACCACCATATCCTCCACCACCATCACCCTCGCCACCATGACCACCACCACCTCCACATCTTACCATTTTTACTATGACACCACTGCCACTGTCCCACCATGACCATGACCATCACCCTACCAACATGACCATCACCATCTCCACTGTATGACTGTTATGGCCACCATGCACTACCGCCACCACCACCTCCTACCACCATCACCACCACCACTATCACCATATTATCCACCTCATTACCCTCACCATTGCCACCACCTCCACCATCTCCACCCCCTTACCCTCACTACTACCACCACTCCAACCACCACTGCTACCAACATCACTCTCGTCTCAACCACCATCTCTACCACCACCGCCACCATTATTACCAAACATGAATTTGTGTATATATATATACACTTTTTGACATTTTAGTTATTGGTACCAGACGCATTTTTATTGTTTTCATTCTAAAAATCATCCTCAAATTAATCTACCAGACACATTCTTAAATCTTAAAAATGAAAAATCCTATTTATCATTTTTGTTTTACAAAACAGTTCTTCAAAAATTATTTTGCAAATACGTTACCAGTTGGACCCTAATTCTCTTGATATATAGAAAAAAAGTGTGAGTCATATTTGTAGTTTCAATTAGAGACAAGCTCTTCGTACTCATCAGATTTCAATTAAAGTTTTATCTCCGATTAATTTTTTTTCCCTTCAATTTCTTACCTCAAAGTGTAAAAGTATCTTAATAGTCGGATACAGTATCATAAATGTTGGATACATGTATCCATCAAGTCAAAGTTAAATCTGTTGACCATGATATATATCTAACAGGTATCCAACAAGTATAAAAAAAATACGCGATCAAAATGAAATTTTCATGCTTTATAGGTGCTAATGTTGAAAATTATTCATTGGGCTCACTTGTCGAGAGTTGTTTTCAAGATCATGGCAAGCGAGTTTCGACATATTTATAGAAATGTCTATACCTAATTTTATTGTTCCTTAATTCGTTTTCCTAGTCTCTAACAAATAGAGTACCTTCTTTAACTGCAGAAGCTCAACTGCGTGAATGGATGAAAGGTATATTATTTGGATGAATGTAATGCAAAACCTTTAACCGTTGACCTGCGTAGTTTGGTGGAATAGCTTTGTCTCTCAAACAAAAGTCTGTTGGAGAATATATTGGTCAAAAGGTCCTTTCTTCTGCCAAAAAGCATAACACTTTTGCATTCAATGTTAAAGAATATTTTTTGAATAAGAATATTAAGCAATATTTTCCCTAATTGGAGTATAACCATTAACCAATTCTCTCTATGCTTACCTCACATACCCATGCCACACCCTTTTGTTTGTTTGGGGAACATGCAATAACAATGGTTCACTTAAGAAGAAAAACGGTATTCGTCGATTTACTCTATAAACTTATAAAAAAATTGTTAATTTCTCTTTATATTCTTTTTAGCTAATTATCCCTACAAAATTTTTATAATTAGCTAAATCCTTTGCCGTTTGAACTTTTCATCCGACATTCCATCCATCTTTGTCACCTGTTATTCCTTTGAGAGACCTTTGAGAGTAAAAAAGTTATTTTGTCCATCACCAACACCCAACACTACATCATTTGTTACTGGTGGTCTATGATTTCAAATTTTGTAGCCTTTGTTCATGCTCATGACATTTCGTTGTCTTTATTATCGTTTTCATTGATTGATTTGTCTTTGAGAGTCTTGGCATAGTCCCTCCGCCTGTATTTTTTTCGTTTACTTTCATTATTATCAATAAATTTGGTGGAGAGAGAACGGGGGAGGGGTTTCTGGGTGTAATGGTCCTCTTCCATTTAGGAGAAAGTAAGTGTCTTGCCCGCTACCATTTTCAAAAAGCTAATCTCGCTTAATCTTTTTCCATTTGGAAAAAAAAAAAAAAAACCCAACACCCATACCCGAACCAATTCTACTAATCTTTCCAACCGTCCGTTTAGAATTAATTATAAGTGAGACATAATGAATTGTTTGCCCTCATAAGTTCCTCACGTGGACAACACTTGAAAAAATGGACGAAATGTTAGGTGAAAATTTTGAAAATCTAATGGTAGGATGAATTTGGCTAATTATAAAATTTTATGGGGAAATGAGCTAAATAGAGAAGGCTTCATGTCACATCCTGGTCTGGGCGGGACCACTTCCTAGGTTCGGCTCTACCGTAGCATAATATTATCCGTTTTGAGCCTGACCACGGCCTCACGGTTTTGTTTCTGGGAAAACACACAAGAACTTCCCAGTGGATCACCCATCCTATGATTGCCCTCGTGCGAACTCGCTTAACTTCGGAGTTCCAATGGAACTCGAAGCCAATGAGCTCCCAAATGGCCTCATGCTAGGTAGAGATGGGAATATACATATAAGGCTTAGAGGATCCACTCCTCTGGGCGATGTGAGATGTTACAATCCACCCCCCTTAAGGGTCTGACGTCCTTGTCGGCACACTTCCCACCAGGGATTGACTCTAATACTAAATTGTCACATCCCGGCCCGGGCGGGACCACTTCCCTGGCTCGGCTCTACTGTAGCATGATATTGTCCGCTTTGGGCCCCGACCACACCCTCACGGTTTTGTTTTTGGGAACTCACACGAGAACTTCCCAGTGGGTCACCCATCCTGTGATTGCCCTCGTACGAACTAGTTTAACTTCAGAATTTCGATGGAACCCGAAGTCAGTGAGCTCCCAAAAGACCTCATGCTAGGTAGAGATGAGAATATACATATAAGGTTTAGATGATCCACTCCCCTAGACGATGTGGGATGTTACACTTCAAGTACGTGTAAGTTCAATTTTAAGTCTCAATGATATCATTAAGAAGTGGTGGAGCTATAAATTACAACGATGAGATCATCAAATACAAGCTTCCAAAAATTAATCATACTTTTACTTATATTTTCCAATATATAATTTTTTCCTGTAAAAAATTCATACAAATTCAATCAATCAATACAAAACCCCCTAAAAATCAAATAAACACAAGATGAGAAAAATGCTGATATGATTGGGATTTCAACCAAGTGCGATGAATGGTGCCAGACCGAACTTGAGCATCAAAGAAGCTTTGAATTGTGAGACATGAAGTTTGGGTGGAGAAGGCGTTTTTGTGTTGATAAGTCTTCAATTTGTTTATGAATTAGCATGCTAAACTTCTTTTTAAGTGAAAAGAACACAAACGATTGGTTTCAATTTGAAGAATATTGATAAAAGGTCTGCTTATTCCATTTGTCTTAAGCTAGTATTGGGGTCAAACGAAATTTTAAGAGGGCATTTTATATGTTATTGGGTTCAGCAGCAACCAATGCTACCACATCGGCTCCGCCACTGTCATTAAGGGCATAAACTTCATCTTACAATCCTTTATAAGGGCTTGAAACCCATTGTGGTCTTCCACACTGACCAAAATTTAATTAATAAATAAACCCCATTGACCTAAACCAAAATCAAAACGGAATTTTGATAATTATTAATAAATTAAACGGATCTTCGATTTAGTACTATGGTGGTATTATTTCTTTTCATTTCTAAAAACTTAAATTCATATGATATTTTTATTGGTCTCTACGTCCATATTTGATCTAATGTAATTGTTGCTTAGGCTTCCACCCTCCACCTATATATAACATATTATTTTGGTCAAAATTTCCTATCTTGTAAGGCCTATTTAACTAGAGTTTTATTATAGAGGAATGGAGAGGTGCAACAACCATAGGGAAGCATAGAATTGAGTGAATTGTGTGTTTTTTTTCACCATGCCTTATTTATATTATCCAATAAGATTATAACTCTAATATACGATAATATTTAAAGATAAAATAAGATTTATACAATCACATTCCTAATTCGTTAGAACTGCAATATTATTTAATATTTCATGCAGAAATATTTGGTACCAAAATACGAAATACAAAAGCGCGTGTCCTTACTAAAGAAAGAAGAAAACAAGAAGGAAAGTAGAAAACCGCGTGTGTAAAAAAGAGGAGGTAGAAACAGAAACAGAGTAGAGTGAAAGAAAGAGTATAAGGAAGCAGGCAAGGCAGGCAGCAAAAGTCAACAGCCAACAAGTCCTTTGTGGCAGCCTTTTCCCAGTTTCCTTCAACACCTTCCACAATATTTAATTAATTATATTAAAATACAAACACACAATTTAATTTATTTTAATATCAATTCCCAGACTCCCACGACACGGCGGTTATAAATCATCAATCAAACACAAATCCTAAGCTCCCACAAAACTTCCCAAAGAAAAAAAAAAAAAAAAGAAGATGAAGAAATTGTATTTTTTTTAATTTTATTTATTTATTTATTTGGAAGAAAAGGTTGAAATGTTCTCTCTTTTATTTATTTTTTTCTTTATAACTCGTCATCATCACCATTCTGTTTTAATTACTCAATTGCTTGTGTGTGCGGAAGTCATAGCGAAGAAAGAAGAAGGAGAAGAAGAAAAACAGCCGCGACCGCCGAATAAGAGACTGCCAAGCAATTTCGAGCTTTGATTCGATGGGTAAGGCCAAAATCTCGGACACCCACTTCCCCGATTTTACTCGTTTTTTAGATTTTTTTTAATGGGTTTTAGGGATATTTATTTATTTGAAAAGGGTTTTTGGTTCCTTTTTGTATACAGATTGAATTCGAGGTCTGATCCTGCAGTTAAAGAATCTGGGAAATTTTTGTTTGTGATTTTGGAGGTGGGTTTGGTTTGGAATTTGGATTGGAGGTGATTACAAGTGGTGGATGCTGAAGATATAGCTCCAGTTTACTTCCTTTTTTGTGTTTTATGGATAGGTTATGCTGTTTTAGTTCTTCCCACTCTCAGGTAATCATTTTTCTGCACTTTTTATTTCTCTTTTTTGGTGTTTATTTGCTCAATCATAAGTCTTGTGAATCATGGGGTTCAATTATTTTCTGTGACTAGTTGTTGAATCCAGTTGACTTCCTTTGTTTCATGTATTTTTTTTTGTAGAATTGAAATTTTTGTTATGATATTGATGGACTCCTTTGGGAATTTACAGGGACCACGATCCTTCATGCATATTTTTTTACTTGTTTGATTTCTCATGTTTTTGATCGGATGTTGTGTGATTTTTTTTTTCTGAGCTGCACTTATGAATTGCTATGGAATATTTGGTAAATTGAAGTGCTGTTCGGTATTCTAGTTGACTGGGATAATTTTTGTAGCTGCAGCTGAAGTTCTGAATAACTAAAACTTTAGGGCCAAAAAGACCGAAGCAACTTGTATTTGGTTGTTTGTTGGTTTGATGCAGTTAGTATAAGTGTGTTGTTAAAAGAAGCTTACGAAGAGAAAAGAAATTGTGAAAAAATAGATTCAAGCTCAATTTTCTTCTAAATGGATTGGGAACTGAAAGTGTTTCAGTTTTCTGAGTGAAAGAGTTGAAAATTCCTTTTGAACATTGCCATCTTTAATACAAAAGATTGAGGTTGCATTATGTTAATTTTTCTGTGCAGTATGGGGGCCGTTCATCATGTGGCTCTGGTAAGGGAAGAAACAACGATGGGTTAATAAAGTATGGCTTCAGCCTGGTAAAAGGAAAAGCAAATCATCCAATGGAGGATTATCATGTTGCTAAGTTTGTTCGGACCCAGGGACATGAGTTAGGATTGTTTGCTATTTATGATGGTCATTTGGGCGATAATGTGCCTGCATACCTACAGAAGCATTTATTTTCAAATATCCTTAAGGAGGTATTGCTACTAATTTCAGATAATTTCATCTACTGGTCTTGTCTAGGTGCATTTAAGTGGAATGATCCAATCTTACACTTCTCATGTAACTATTCTAGGAAGAGTTTTGGGTTGATCCTAACAGATCTATCTCAAAAGCCTATGAGAGGACAGACCAAGCAATTCTCTCTCACAGTTCTGACTTGGGGCGTGGAGGGTCTACTGCTGTAACTGCAATATTGATAAACGGTCAGCGATTATGGGTGGCAAATGTTGGAGATTCACGGGCAGTTCTTTCAAGGGGGGGTCAGGCAGTACAGGTGTCTACAGACCATGAGCCCAATACCGAAAGAGGCAGCATTGAAAACAAGGGTGGCTTTGTCTCTAACATGCCAGGTATTTACAGCACTGATGTCTAGAAATTTCAGTCAATGTGTAAATACTTATGTAGATGTAACAACTTGAATGGACATGACTGTTTTCATGAAGAAATGAGTTGTCAATCTTCGCTACTTTCATTTTAAATTGTTCTTTGTCTTTTAATATATTGTATGCATTCTAGTTTTATGCTGCAAAGTTCTTCCCTTAGTTGTAAACTCCAAGACTCTTGTCGCCCCCTTTTGCATAACAATTATAATTGTTGATGAGTACTTCTTCCACTAAATAGATAGAAGCAATATGATGGACTATTTTCTTTGGGAGAAAATATCGTCATTCAGATAGAAAAAGAACTAGGTTCAGCTTACAGTTTCTTAGAATGTCACTTTGCTGATCCCCATGGATTAATTTTATTCTGCAGTTTCGTAGTTTGGTTTAAATTAGTGTTGTGCTTACTTTTGGAGAATTGCATTATTACTTGGTTTGTCATGTTTCCAACTAAAGGTTGGATGACACCATGCACAAGATAAAAATGAAGTCTCATAAAAAATAGGACCTCTCATTCTCAAAAGAGACACGTGTCTACCTTCTGCTAACATCTTTGTAAATGTAGATACTTTGTTTCCCTTTGAATTGGTCTCAGCAATATGCATGCACATCTTGCTTGTCCGATGTTATTGTGCATCTGAGCTTTGAAGTAGCTAAAATGACTTTTCATATGCACCAACTCTTCCTATATATGGATAAATAAACTCTTCAACTAGCGAAAATCGGGATTTCTCTTTTCAATTTTAACTATCGAAACACAACAAGTGAAAGACATCTTGTACTGTTGGTTGTTCAACTGTGATGTTTCGACATCTAGAAAAATTGTGATTGTGTCCTTTCAGTGTTTTATATGTTATAATCATCTCCTGCATTATTTTCTATCTTTACGGCACTTAGAGTTGCCTTACATGTTTTAATCATTTCCTGCAATATTTCTTTCTTTTCAATTGTAGTCTAATGCAATCCTTGCTTTCATTTTAGCTTAGAGAGTTAAAAAAAAAAAATTGTTTGTTTTTTGTGTGTATAGACAGTGTTATTAAGGTAATAGAACACTCGTAAGCCAGAAAGTTGCGACAACTCACAGGTCCCAATTAACCAAAAGAAAATAAAAGTTTTCTGACTTGATTCCATTGACCTTAATATTAGTTTACCATCTATACTAAAGAGATTAAGTCTTGAAATACTTGTCTGATGCAGTTAAGTTGCATCAGCCAGTTCTGGGCCTTTTATGTTAATGAATATTGAGCACATTGGCATTTATTGTTGTAACACGACGTTGCAATTGACTTATGTTAAGTCTCTCGTTGAACTGACATTTATTGAACCCCTTCCGTTGCAGGAGATGTTCCTAGAGTCAATGGGCAGCTGGCAGTTTCTCGTGCTTTTGGAGACAAAAGCCTCAAGTCACATTTGCGATCGGATCCGGACATACAAGATATCTACGTAGACAATAGTACTGATGTTCTAATCATTGCCAGTGATGGTCTTTGGAAGGTGAATCGTTTTACCTGATCCTTCTTCTCCTTGGTGCATTGTGCACTCTAGAAAAAGCAGGAAAAAAATCACCTAACTGGTGCATGCCTTAGTGTCAAAGCAAAGTTTAAATTGAAAAGTCTCTTAGAAATTACTTTTCTTTTATGTTCTGATAATCCAGGTCATGGAAAATCAAGAGGCAGTTGATATGGCAAGAAAGACTAAAGACCCTCTGAAGGCGGCAAAGCAATTAACCGCAGAAGCGCTGAAAAGAGACAGTAAAGATGATATTTCCTGCGTTGTTGTTAGACTAAGGGGATGATACCAGTAAAAAACAGTATTGCTTTGCAGGTGCAGTATATAGAAATAATTGAAGTTTCTTCATATGCAAGGGTGATTTATGAATGGATTACACAACAACGAATATATACCTGCTACGGGGTGGGGTTACCGTAAAGCGAATTTCTGCAGAGCATGGAAGTGGCCAAAGACAGAGGAAGAGGGAAATAGCCGAATGCTTCCCAGTGTAAATTTATGCTCCTTATTTTTATGTTCGGGTGTTTTGATATTATTTGAATTCTTTGAGAAGGTGAATTAGTCTGATGTGTATATGGCCTTCTACTTTACACAAATGACCAAAAGCGGCTGTGTGATGACGTGGACGTGCTTCTATTTGTGATTGGAGGAATGCATTTTGTTTTGGACCAGGTTTTCCCTTTTACCCTATGGAATTGATTGAAATTTACTTACCATTGGACACACATCTTAGCTGGAAATGGAATACTAGGATTCTTTCTCTTTCCCCTTTCATGGTAATTTGCTTTTATACAACGACATTGGGGTGAGAGTTGGTTTTCGTGTAACTGTTATCTTAACGGATTGTATCGTGTCACACCCGTTATCTTAACGGATCCTTAACAGGTCGGGTCATTTTACCCCGTTATGACCCGTTAAGAAATTTTTTATTTTTTATTTCTTAAATTTGCACATACCACATATTGCCATATAAATATTACTTCAAAACATTAAAACACATTTGTCGTTTAAGTACTATATCTACACTCGAAAATAAGAGCTTAATAAAAAAACATCCATACACTACTAGTCTATTATAAAATATTAAATGTGCAAGGATATCCAAAATGAAATAGTTTTTGTTTTCAAGGTTGTGAAGTCTTTCTCAAAAGTTTAAATCTTGTCAATGGAACTCAAAGCTTGCATGTTATTCTTTTTACAAAATCATCAATTTTCATCAATCATCATAAGGAAATTGTATTGGAACTTTGACTTGGTCTATTGCCTTCAAGAGTTATGTTGATGATGTTTTCAGTAAGGTTTTCCACGTTAGAACTTTCTTCCGCATAAACTAAGTATAGAAAAACCAAACATTAAAAACCATTCAAATTATGAGAAGTTTACCAAAATAATTATGAAAAGAAATAAAACAATAGTACTATACCATATAAAAATATATTAGCCTCCAACCTAATGCACAATGGACGGTTGAGATTAAATCTCAGCCGATCCAATGGTCACCAATTTTTTAAATTTAATTATATATATATATATATATATATAATTATTATAGTTTATAGGGGTATAAGATTGTTAAATTAATATATATATATATATATAATTATTATAGTATATTTTTAGAAAATTATTAAATTAATATTTTGCTTATTGTGTATTGTGTTACCTACGTGTATACCCGAACCAACTAGTTATCTTAATAGATGCTTATCGGGTTATCCGATAATGACCCGATTTGTTATCGTTTTGACTTGAACACTTGTTAATTTTGTGTCGCGTCGAGTTATTAGGTTGTGTCAGGAATTGCCAAGCCTAAATGAGCCAATAATAATTTGGTATCAAAACCGTCAGGAGATGAACTTCTGACTTCTAATTACAAGTAGAGATGGATACTTTGCGAAGTTTAAGTGTTTTATTTATTTATTTTACTTTTGGCGACAAAAAGAAAAACGTACAAAGATGCTCCCCTCTGAAACTTTTCTTGTCCACTATAACACAAGTGGTACACCACTTGTTATTATATAAGTGGGAGGAAAATTTTACTTTTTATGTTGTTATTATATAAGTGGTAGGAAAATTTTATGTTGTTAATATTGTATCATCCTGTGTTCTGATCACATTAAAATGAGCTATATTGACCTATTAATGTACAATAATTCTTACTACACCTTGGGAAATTTACAAAATCAAATACAAAGATTAGCTAGAGTAAGTCCATAGTTTGCATGAGCATAAGCAGCAAAGTTTGTTTTTTAATAAATATGATGAATTTCTTAAACATCGAAAGGTCTCAAAAAGGGTGCAAACATTTGTCATGTGGAAATTCTTCACAAAGGATGATGACAACTTTCATACCCGTAATTTTAAATCGGGGGTTCCATCCCCACCCCTAATGGGAAATGGATTTGCCACCCCGTCTCTTTACAACTCAGACTCTTTACAACAAATTAAAAGGAAAATTCAACTAAAAATTAATATTTCAAGTCACAAATATAGGAAATGTAATATATTCCAACCCAAGAGGCCATCACAATTTCACCATTATATGGTCCTAAAATATTGAAGAAGACATGAATCAATATCACCATGATATAAAAAAGAATAATTACTCCAAAATCCAAATGGGGCAGATTCGGGTCACAGGTCAAATACCATTTTCTATCCTTCAAACCCGACCCAATAGGGGCGAAGCCTTGCTGCAAATAGCCAACTCGTAGAGAAAATTGGCATCCTCATCAACATGGGCCCGCGTGGAACTTACGAAGTCCCTATTTTGTGTGCGTCTTCGGCGGACAAGTAAGGGGACACATACAACAGTATCTATAATCTTATGTATGTCCCTGCTTGGTTAAATAAGACATTTGAGGTCTCGTTTAGCAACTCGGACTGTACTGATTATTTCAATCGGATATGATAAATAGTCTTTAGATAGTATTGACTATATTAGTCGGACGTATAATGCAATATCGGATTAACGATCGTATTATTTATCGTGTGTTCGTGGCTAGAATTTCCGTTAGGGATGTTTCCTAGCCGACGAGCACACAGCTCCCCAAGAAGTTGGTGCCGGTTGATGCTTTCTGTCGGGCTTCTGCTTACTGACAGGCTTGTCAGGCAAAACCTGTCGGGCAAGGCTGAAAGAGAATGACATAGTTAACTTTTAAAGGTGCCTTTCTGGGGCCTTAGGTGTAGGCCTTGAGGCTCACAATCAAGATTAACTTTTAGCTGCACAGGCGTGCCACTGCCATCTTTAGCATGGCAGATGTAAAACAGATGTTGAGTTTTAGTTGTATATATACCCGAGAGACAGAGTTAGTTATGACAGGTGCTTTTGTGGGGCCTTAGGTGTAGGCCTTGAGGCTCTCAGTCAATAACTAACCCAGTACTCGAACATATAATGTTTGTTTCATTGATTGCAGAAGTGTTATAACCATTATATTTCTAATTACCCGAGCCCGAAGAGCAGAATGAATCCAAATAGGTGCCTTTGTAGGGCCTTAGATATAGGCCTTGAGGCTTCCCATCAGAACTCCTTCTATACTCAAACGTTCTATGATAATCATAATATAACAAAAATAAAACTAAGGGATAGGTCGATTACTTGCGCCCCAAGTAACTTCGGACTTCTTGTTTATCAAGGACTGTCGTGGATTAAGTCCACATAAGGTTCTTTTTTATGCCTTGAGACCAAGGAATTTTGAATGATCAATCTTACATGCCCGAGAGCTTAGAATTTAGATCTGATTTAAACTATGAAGACATATTTCAATCGGATTTAAGAACTGATGAGTCTTTTAATCACCAACTTGCTAGAAATAACTTGGATACAACTGAAAGTATACAACATATTGCTAGACTAATGAATGAAAAGACAAAAACAAAGAGGGTCGGGCAAGGTTTCACCTTGTCGGGCAAGGCTGATCGTCTTGCAACTTCCTATCTTTGTGATTTATCAAGGGGTTTGAAAGCTTAGAAAGAGGGGTAGGGAGATGAGTTTACAGAAGGAAATCGATACTACAACAAGATTTGGACAAGGTAGCAGAGCTATTACAAAGGCTTTTGGTGAGGGTTGATCCCGAAATGGATGAATGTTTGGGCTGACTACAGCTTCGTTTGAAGGAAAATTTGGTTTGAGCAGAGTTTGTGCTTGTATTTGTTTGTTTGATTGAGTGTCTTTATCTTTGATTTCTCTTTCTTCTTTTATAGACACTTCGGCTTAGCCTCCTGTAGCATTAATCTTGCCCGAATGCAGCTTAAAGGGTAGTGACTCATCAGCTTTTTACTTGTACTGCCACTGTAAAGTACTTTTGGGCTGATTAGCTGGTTGGTCTACACCACTTAGTCTCTAGGCAGGTGAGCAAGTGGTTCAAATAGCCTACAAATAGTCAGAAAAGGGCCTCTCCTGCCTTCTGGGCTTTGGCTGGGCTTCGGGTTTTTTCCCCATCTAGATCTCCTTTTGGGCCAACTCCTTCTTGAGCCCAAAGTTCAAGTTTTAACCCAAATAGTGCCCCCTTCAATTAATATTCAGACTGGAATTCCAGGCGCCAATATTGATTGAAAAGCTCCCCATTATACCCACGTCTCTCTCTCTCGGGATTTGCACAATTTCTAAAGATAATCGTCACTTTCCTGCGATCATTCCACTAACCCACGAATCCTCTGCATTCTTAGCACGAAATCCCTTTGCAATTTGAAAATTTCCTAACTTCCCAGACGTTTTACTTCTCTAAATCTTTTAGACTCTCTTTTGCTCTTTACCCGATATCTTCTACCCTTGTCGTCTTCTTTGTCGTTCCCTTTCCAAACTTCATCAAATGGCTTCAGGATCCAGCCAAATCCAACTATCCTATGAATCTGGCGAAGGCATCGCCACTTTGCACCGTTTACTCAACGGACTGCATCGCCCTCGGGCAAGTTTGTATTCTGAGCTTTTCTTTGAAGTGCATGGGGCACAATCGTTGGGTCCCGCATGGATTTCCCGGGTCCCTGCAGTGATAGAGAACAATATGCCCCGGGATAACTGGTTTTCCCTAAATCCCTTTTTGGCTAAGCCGAGCATTTCTTCATCCAAGTGGTCGTCATATCGTCGAGGCTTTCCTTTGATGAACGATCCGACTTGGGCTCAGTGGATCGATGAACTAGAGCCAACTTTTAAGAAGAAATGGATGAATAACGGCATTTATGAATTGATAATGATCTAAAAAACTACCATTATTCCCAAGCCCGAACTGCTTGCTTCTTCTCTTCTTTTCTGGAATTCGGGCACAAACATTTTTGATTTCCGTATGGGTCTCATGTCTCCGACTGTTCTTGACATGGCCCAGGTCTTCGGGGCTAAGGCCATCGGGTAGGATAGTGGACGTTACTCAAGACTGGGCTCCCCTTTCAATTGCTGAAAGCTCAGGTTCATCCGCCTCTTTCCTTTCCTTGGAATATAATTCTGAAACCTTTAAGAGTTACGGGACCTCCTTCAAGGGATTCATCCCTTTTATAAAAGGGAATTTTGGAGCAGATTCTTCTCATTTTGATAAAGATCAAGAGCACATGTATTTCCTCTTATACTGGCTCAACAAACATGTATTCCCCAATAAGTCTAAATGAGTGAAGGTTGAATGGATCCCCTCGGTAGAAGCTCTTCATAATTTTGATGATGTAGCCATGGGTCCATTCCTTCTTTCTCATCTTTACCATCTTCTTTTTGAAATGACTCAGGGCGAGCCGTTTGAAACCAACCTGAATGGACCCATATGGATGATCTAAACAT